GTGACATAAGATATAAAGACACGTGAATCAATGAGATAAATTTGGAATGTCTTTGTCAAAAAACATTGCATTAGAAAGTTATTTCATCGTGATATTTTTGAACGTGTGAAAGATACTCAAATTTACAATACATCTATTTTTTATCAATACACCTATATTGATAAGAAACATAACATATAACAGCATTGATATAAATATTTTGGGTGGAGTTTAAGTATTATAGAAAAAAATAACAATTGAAATGCAAGATAATGTACTAATGATAAGTGCGATTCACACATAGTATTATTTCACATAGTATCATTGGATCTTGAATTTTTCTTCGTGCTTACTAAAATTTGAAATTTGCATACTTCAAAATATTTTTTAAATCATTAGATTAATAATTACAATACTTAATATTATTTAAGAAAATATGTCTTATATGACTTTTTATATGCTTTGGTTACTCAGAAAGGTAGAAATGCATTTGTAATTCTTCTCATCGAGTTCATGCGTTTCGTATACACTGAAAAAAGACTAATAATTCGAAATTCTTAATGAAGAAAATAATTTAATCACTGAAATGAATCGAAAATTGCCGAAAACTCATTTACATAGTTCTCAGATTTGTATCTTAACATAATAAAACTGTTCTTAAGTTATTTAACATTAATGTACAAATGTCATTTGTGATTTTTATATTCCAAAATGTATGTAATGTTGATACATGAAAATATTTGTTTTTATTAAAACGCCCTACTTACTCGTGAAAGAAATTCATTATTATTATATGATGGTATTATAGATTTCTAGAAAAATATATGATCTGAGTACAATGTATTTGCGAGAAATTAGTTTAGAAATTTGAGAAAAAGAAATGAAATAAGAAACATTAACTACAGTAACTATTTTTTATTAAGCTTTTGTAACCGGTAGCATAAGATGAAAGTGTATTATTGTTATATAATGATTTGTCTGATAAATCTATCTCATTTACGTATGCACAGCTGTATATATAAAAGAAAGTGAAAGTTCCACAAAAAGTATGAATCGAGACCTTCCGTTCTCAATATAGATATGTATTATAATAATGAGACAATAAAATTAGCAGAGCAGAAAACGGAAAACATCTCATAACCTTATCGTGTTTTGATTATGTTGAAATTTTCGATTTAGCTGTGTCATGTAATAAACCACAGAACAGAAAAGTCACGTTCAGTAACATGATAAATAGAAGTGAAAGTATGCTTCTTCGATGAGTAGTTCTGCAACTTTCTCTATGATATATCGCTAGCAGCATACATAATTCAGACTAAGAGATCCTTGAGAATACATGATTAATTTCACGATCTGCAAACTGCGCATTTTGAGGAAACTATCTACTTATTTCAATGTTAAGTAATCTATGAAGCTATCGAAAAACCAACGAAATTATGAAAGACAAGTACAAAATATTTTGTTATAAAGTACACTGTGATATTTTTTACACGTGCAATGTCGATAATAATCTATTTGTAAATGAATACATAAACGTAATCTCAGGCAGAAAATGATACATAAATATTTTTCATACAATGTATTTACGAAAAGTGAAAACTTTCTACAAGACTTAAAAAAATTTTTGTAATACAAAAGCAAGATACAAGAGAATCACTTATTTACAAATACTTTTCTACAAAGGCACTTAAAATATGATTATTTTTGACATGACGATGACGATAATGACAATTATGCGAGAGGGAAGAATTTAATGTCGACCTATTTGATCGATTTGGGTCTGAAGATTGTTCACCACTTCGGGTGGCACATGATCGCCCAAGATCTCGAAAAGATTGATCCTCTGATCCCCGGGGATTGATTCGTAAGCGGCCAATTCAATACCCTCTTGAACTTTTTGTATAGTCGCATCCTTCGGGATAAGATAAGTATTCTGAGCTTGCCGGATCGCCTCATTGCTGAAGATTTGCCCATCTTTCTGTGGATACGCGGCAATCATGGTCACCAAAAGCAATGTGGTCAGGACTATAGTGTGAAATTTCATCTGGAGACAAATTAGGGACAAGATTATTGAAATCACGCGCGCGCGATTCGAGAATATAAAATTCACAAAGATTTCGAAAATATATGTAGGTGTGCTCACAAAAGATGAAGACTCCAAATAAAATATATATACAGGATGATCCGAAATTCATGAATTTGAAATATGGGACATGATATGCTAAAAGAAACAACTTTTTCCTTTTGCAAAATTGTGTATAATAAGTAGTTTTTTCAGGAGAGCAGGTTCAAGTTATACCGAGAAAATGCAAAAATTATTTATTGAATTTTACTACAGGAAAAAGTTGTTCGTTTTAGCACAGAAAACAATTTTTTCCTTTGGCAAAATTGCGTCCGATAAGTAGTTTTTGCAGGAGAGCAGGTTGAAGTTAACAAATAAGCGCAAAAATTATTTATCGGACACAATTTTGCCAGGAAAAAATTGTTTATTTTAGCATAAAGTATCATGTCCTGTACTCCGAATTCGTGAATTTCGAATCACTCAAATATTATATACATATATATATAT